TAGAGATTGCAGTGATACATGACATGGTGAAAAATGACTGAATGAATAATACTTAAAGTAAGTTAAGATGCATTTTAAAAGTGTGGCCCCCCCCCCAGTTACTGTGGTCTAGGACCCCCCCTGGCACTTTTGCTTTCAGCTTCAACCACCAAAGACATTATATTTAGCATCTAATGATCAAAATTACCCTGAGCGTCCTCTTCATAGATGTTCAGCTTCACCAGGCAGTGCCAAAAGCACGATCTGTAGATGAAGCAGTTAACGGCCAACAAATAAAAATAGTTTGCAGGTGTCTGAAGTGTTTCTGCTCTGTGTTTCCCTCAGGCCATTATAAATAGTATAAATAATCAACATGTATCCCCCCTGTCAACAAGCTTGGCCCCTCCTTTGGTCCCCCCTAAATTTGGAATCACACCAAACAATTTTGGGTGAAATGCGCAGTTTGTCCTGTAAACTATATATAGGCCTATATAAGAAAAACATCACCAGCTGCTAAATTAAAATCTGCATTTGGCTGGCTGGCACAGAGCCAGAGACACAAGCGTTTTTAAAGCGCTGCGCATTATAACCAATCACACACGATTCTGTTGAGCTTATGAATGCAATGACCAATCAGAGGCGTTCAGATGAGTCACCGCTGAAACACCGCTGTTTCGTCACCGCGCGCGCTGGCTGGCTGAATTCTCTGGCTAATTCTCTCATCAGAAACAACAAACTGAAGATGTGCGAATGTAAGTAAGATATTAATTTTCACAGTGTAAACAGCTTTAGAGATTATTTTGGGAGTTTGTGAGAGTGCTTGAACTCGCTGGACTGATGTGAAAATGTTCTTTGATAATGTAAACACGCTTTTTGTATTTACTTACACATATTTGAGAATCGAGATATTTCATGATATATTTTGGGAATATTTTGAATAAAAAAATAAAAAAAATAATAAAACCCCTGCTGAAACAATCGCTCTCGCAGCCTGGGTGCCTCTGTGTACTGCGTAGGAGTGAAGGATTTCAATGAGACTCAGGTGTGTTTGTGTGTGTTGTGTTTGGTGGTATGGTAAGCTTTAAAACTAGATCTTGGCACTTATGCCAAAGTGTTACCAGATTTTTATAAATTATGCTTGGGGGGTATATAGACTAGCACTTGTTTAAGCAAGTATATACTTTATACAATTTTTTGTAATACTTTTTTTTATTTATTTACTTTTCACTTTTCCTAGCTGGCCAAGATCGCTGACAGCAAAGATCATGTCTTTCCAGTAAATGATGGCTTTGAAGCTTTACAAGGTGTCATTGGTTCGGTGAGTGTTTATGTAGATGATTTAATACAGTAAATTGCATTCTATGTGAAAAATTGTATTGTGGGAAAAGTCACACTTTAATCATTATATAAAACAAATACCATTATGATTGTTTCCATTCATTTACCAATTTTATTATTTGTCAGTTTTTTTTCTTTTCTTTTTTTTCCCCAGCATTAATTTAATTCAAAGTAGTTGAAAAATTACAGTGCATCACTGCAGGCTTTAATTTTGGTACCACGTTGATTTAATATTTTAAATAAAGTAATTTTGTTTAAGCAATTAAACTCGAGTTTTTAATTAAATGAGATGATTTTTTTACAGTGAAAAGTTCATCATGATCACTCATTCATGCACTCTCTATGCATTGCTTTATTTTTGCTGAATTAATTGAATACTTATTTGACCAGTTTCAGAAAAAGTTCCTAGACATCCATCAGAACCTCCAGTAGTTTGCAATTTGAAATATTATTTAGTGGTCATGCAATATATCGCCAAAGGCCAATATGTTGGCTGATTTTTATTATGATTTAGTATTTTATTTTCCATTATTAGTAAGTAATCTACCATTAGCATTCAGCAAATACACATTTATATAATATATATATTTTTTATTTAATTAGCATAAAATTCTGTACATTTTATGCTAAATAAAAGCACTACCTTATGTTCATTTGAAAAAATATTGTTCCTGGTTCACAGACTTAACACATTACTAAGTGCACTATTGGTTAAAGTGTTGACTTTCTTTTTATTCACATTTTTAAAAATTTTCTTTATTTGTGAAAAATATTATAATAAGATTACAGAATCAAGAATCATAAGTATAAATCTTTTTATTTTTTATTTCAAGTTTCATTTTTTCATATAATTGATTTCTAATTATTTATTTCTAATAAATATTATGCAAAATAAATATACATTTCATTTCAGCAATTCTTATGCAAGTGTTATATCTTTAAATTAAATAGTGTGATATTGTATCAGCTTTATATTGGCCATCTACCACCCTGCTGTCTAAAATAGCGGCCTTCACAAAATCAGTATCCGTCAACCACTAATAAGAATGGCTGTCAGTGGAGAAAGATGCTTTTCAGATGCTTTAGCAACAGCTTTTACCAGCATGGGCAAACAGAGCCATGCCAACCAGACAAAGCTTGACCTCCTGGGTAAAAATTACCCTAAGAAACAGCCTCTTAATAAAAAAAAACTACAGAAGAATTAAAGAAGACTCCGCTGGAGTCTGTCCAAACACCATCAAAGCCCCGGTCACCGTGTCCTTTCTTTTTGCAATGAAAGCTAATGATTTATATTTTTTTAATCTCCGAAGCCGAGGTGGAAGAAAAGAGGAGATGTTTGGGTAAAGACTTGTCTCGCCCATGCAGAGGTTGACTGTTTCATGAGCTGAGACTGGGGTCAGTCCAGCTGGCCTCCATCTGCTGTCAATTAGCTAGCTGCATGCTGAAAGTTCTTGGCCGAAGCTCAGGAGAAGAGTGTCGTAAATCAGCAGGGACCTTGGGATCTGAAAGCATACTTCCATCGATGACAGAGGAAGGCGGTAGACATGTAGATCAAAACAACCTCGCCACACATAGGTGCTGGTATGGCTGATGAAGGCTATTTCCAGGACGAGAGGAAAGAGACGGAGAAAGCAGATGTGATGTTCAAAACAAAAACGCCACATGAGGATTGTCCTGTTGAGGCTCTTGAAGGAGAGGTGTTGCTATGATTGGAGGATTCTTTAAGATAAAATAAACTTGTTCTGCAAAAAAAAAAAAAAAAAAAAAAACAAGTGTTATGGGTTTTCAAATGGGGTCCATGT